TCAGTATTTTAATATTAAAATATTAACTAATATTAAATTTTTTATTCGACTGTATAATATTCATTTTATGTATTTATATTATTATTTTGTTTTTTAATACTTAAACTGTAAGTTAAACTTGTATGTGTTTATAATAAAGTAAACTATTTAGATCTTAATAAAAGTTATGCTTAAAATATCTACCTATGTATCTACTTATATTATAATGAGCATGAACAAACAGTATGTTTAATATTTCAAAGGTCTAACTTCTTACATTTTTTATTATACTCTAGTTAAAAATGTTATTTTTATTATTATTATATTGAACTATATAGATAATAGTATTGCTTATATATTATTTCTTTCGCGCCTTGTTTATAGATTTAATTAAGAGCATGGATTAAAAGTTATTGTGATAATATGAAATGTGTAAGAAACATTTGTTTACTTTTATTTTTTAATATATTATTTACAGTTCACTTTATCTGTATAGTTATTTAAAAATATTTATTATGTTACAAATACAAACAACTTAAAACATGTTAAATGCTCAAAATGTATATTATGTAGTATGATATTATATATTTATATCTATTTTGTGATTAAATTATAGCAAAATTAATTTTTAATAGTAGTGGGCAACATACAAACATCTTCAGGTTTTGTGAACAAATTAGTTCATAGTTGGAGCTTTGTGATAAGTTAGATGAWAGTATGAGACACAACGTTTGAATATAAAGTTGTGAATGTTTGTTGGCACAGGTATTACATTTAGGTGCCTGGTTAATAAGAAATACATTTCATAAGAACAGTTTTCTATTATTATCTAAGAAATGCACTGAATGTAATATGAACACTGATTTGTAATWATTTTACTATTTGAAAAAATTATAGTTTATACCAATTTTAGATTTATTCTTAGTTTCAACATATTGAGATATAACTGAGTAATTTAGATGATGAGTAAGTAGAGTGATAAGTGTATCGATAAACATTATTAATAGGAAAAAGTGACTGAAGATTMATTTTTGTAGACCGCTCATGATAGTAAATTGTATCTGTTTGGTTCTTTTGAATGTTCAAAATACAAAATTCCCAATACTGCTAAAAATTATCAGGATAAATTGTTAAATTAAGAAAAACAGGAATATATATATTGACAAAATTAACTTTGTATTTTTGTTGTTATTCAAAATTAAATAACTATATGGACTTGAAATATGTCAAATGTTCATATTTTTCTRGGCTTGATATAATTTTCTATTTTTATACTTTTTTTTATGCTATTTAAAGGTATTTTAAAATATCTTCTTTATTTAAGTACCTATGATAATCTGTTATTTATGAATATTATCTTACGGAGACTTGGAACTTGTATGTATATTCTTATATTTTACTAGGTGTACCTACATTATCGCATAAAAATATTTAGATTAATTTTAGAATATTGCATAATATTTATTATTTATCTAGGTATTACAAACCTTTTCATTATTGATGACCATACTCAATTACGACTTATAAGCAATACTCAACACTTATAGGTACAGTAGGGTGATGCTGATTAACCTGTCCATTTTTTTTTTWAATTATTTTTTTTATTAGAAAGTTCTTTGCTTCAAATATTATCAACTATATWAAAGGATTATCACTGTAGGATAATGTTAATGTTAATGATAAATGGCTATGTTTTAAAAAATATTTTATCATCTTATAAGTAGGCATTTAAAAACTTCAACAGTTTGTGCTCACCATGTAACAGGAAGAGATAAATTAGATAAATCTAACATCCCAAAATTGATCTCTACTAACTAGTGACAATTCTATCTTAACCTTTTTTTTTGTTAAATGTATACTACTGTTAAGATTTTTTTTTTAATTTAAGAAACCATTTACTCCTTACTACTTTTCCCAATCATTAAAAAAGTACTGAGAAATTGAAAACCTACAATACAATATATATCATTCATCTACATAAAAAATATAAATTAATAAACACCTTCACAATAGATTAAAATAGTAGTCAAGTATTGAATAATATTTAATTTTAAGATTACATAATAATTGTTTAAATTAAAAACAAATTGTGTAGATAGGGGTTACCAATATTTTAATTGATATAGCTGCTGCAGAGGTTTATATATTATTTTGTTGGGAAATAATTGGTCAGGATATTTATTCCCAACTACATAATATATTGAACTAATTTAGTGGTATATGTAATACCGTTACCCAAATACTCGATGACAATAATATACAATATACATTTTCAACGAAATATTTTCCATTAAAAAATGCTGATCAAAAGAAGATTCCAATGAGGCAACAAAATATTGTTCAATTTATTATTATTTTAGTATACCATAATAGGTATTATTGGTAGCATAAACATTTTTTTCCAATTAACATTTTGAATTTTCCATAAAATTACGTTACTGACCAGTGGCCACATTTATTTTAGACTTGCCTAATAAATTATTTAAAAGGAATCAAAAATAACAAAAGATTCGATTAAAAAATAAATAAAACTGGAAAATAATTATTTCCAACTTGATATTGTTTGTTATTGTTATTCCAGATGTAGCTCACCCCATCTGTTGGTGATCGCTGCAACTATGTTCTAGCGTTATAATCAGACCAAAAATTACCTGCTCTCACGTATTACGCACATATGACATTGTGCTATATAAATACAGTATTTGACAAGCTATCAAATGTACTTGCTTCGGCAGTACATATACTAAAATTGGAACGATACAGAGAAGATTAGCATGGCCCCTGCGCAAGGATGACACGCAAAATCGTGAAGCGTTCCACATTTTTTTGTCCGACAGTTCTTTGGTTCCCCTGTTATTTTAATATTATTTCATATTTGATTACTTTTGAAAGTATAATATTATGTAATGATATTAATATTGTTATTGTATGACTAAAATAATTTTATTTTCACGCGTATTAATACTAAAATTTGATTTTATATAAAATATTGAATAAATATTCCAGTTTTTTAGTTTTTCTCAATAATAAAAAATATACTATTTATTATTTCTGATCAAACTGTCATCCAAGTACTTAATAGATAAATTTAGTCCCAAAAACCACTCTCCCCCCCCCCAAAAAAAAACCATAATTTTTAAAGTTCATTTTTTTTTATTCGAGACGTGATTAAAAATTAACAAAATCGTTGGGATAAAAATTTGAAAATCGAATCATATCATKTCTTTTGAGTTTACAATGTACAATGTAGTACAATGTCTCAAATATTTTTTTAAGTAATAGCTGTACAGTCAGTGGCAGGTATAAGGTGGGGAAATAAGTGTATAACCCCCCCCCGGGATCTTCCGTGATCATATTTTACGTATTAACCACAGACAGTACCTATGTTAGTCTGTGTCTCCGTGATTTTTTCTGTCGTCTATGAACTGTGATTAGAATATGCGATAAACACACAAATTAACTTAGTACAGAAATCAGTGGGTACACCATAGACATAATATATAATGTAAAACAATAAAACATTATATTATACGCCTATGGGCTATGATATACGTGTTGGTTTGGTGGAGCGATCAGAGCTATCTTCAACAATAAGTATGTATAGGTATATTCTTTAAGTAAAATTTTTACATGGGAATTGGAGGATGTTATCTATCGTTGTTAAAGGATCATGTAAAATGAKTAAGTATGGATGCTTTGTTTCTATAATGTGTTTTTCCCTAGTTCAACGTTCATAATATATATAACTTGCACGAAACATTTCGCAATGAGCAACATTATATTATTATTGTTGWACATACATATTACACATGCAAATTATATAAGTTATATATTTGTACGAAACATATAAAATTAGGTTATCGAAGTATTGCTGCGTATTATATGTCCACGGGTAAAAGCTTTAAAAAAATATATGATACTACATTGCGCAACAGATTTTTATTAAGTCTAAAATAAAACAAAATTATGTATTCTTACGTACTTACATTTCTTCAAAAATATTTGTATATTTTAGAAATTGTCAATAAGACAATAACACATTATACACACTTATGCACACTTGTATAATTTATACATAAACAGTTTTCAAATTGTTTTCATCCGATAATATAAACGAAAATGTATATAATATACCTATATAGGTACCTAATAATATATATAACAATTAAACAATAATAATTGCCGTGTCCGATTTATTGTTAGTACCTACGAGCTACGTAGTCCTACACCATAGGTATAATAATAATTGTATATTATATAACATATGATTTAGTACTAACAAGTGTTATTTAGGTATATTATACACAATATGCACATAAATAATTATAATATAATGTATAGGTATATAAATTGGCAGTTTTATTTAAAAAGTGAAATGTATAATGCGATATTCTAGCCAAATGTATTTACACCAAGCGCATTAGGTAGGTTCATATTTTATAGTAGTATAATCTACATCGTATATAATACACATAATATGATGGTGTATATAATATATATAATTATATAGATATGATATATTATCATAGAATATAGGGCATTAGTACATTGTGGGTATTGTAAATATTTACACTGAATACACTGTATACATATCTTCTATAAACTGACACGAATCTATAATATAATATTATATTGGTATATTTTTTTCGTTATCATCAAAACGTTGGTGGTAGAACCTTTGTTTATTATACAATACTAATATTATAACTATCTGCATCTCCATAATACAACTGATAAGCTGTACATCTAGGTATATACATTATACACGGATTACGACAGTCGATAAAAACTAAAATTGCTTCCATTATCTTGTTTTTAGGTATATTACTTATGTACCTATATACGCKTCGTATAGTCGAGTTTCTTAAATTAAATTAATAATTAATTCATAATATAAAATAATATATAAAAATCAATCTATCTGCGTTCCCTAGTATACTACCACTACCTGTAGGCGGTACTATAGGGAAATATACCGAAGGATGCAGGAATAAAATATTTTATTAATAGGATTATATACCTATAATAGGAATGCAAATTGAAAAAACCGAATTGATTAAACAAAATTGCATAGGCCATTACACTCAAGAACTATTAATTTTTCTCTTGTCATCTCACACCCTGTTTTCTGGCGTCGGGAGAGGGGGAAAGTCATTGTATTTCCCCCTCGAATCAGACTATATTTAGGGGCAATCGTATCCCTATGCCACCATGCAATCACAATGCCGTCGTCTATATATGATTCTGCTACCCTAATAAATATCTTTTTAATTTACACACACAATATGTATATAATATAAGTATATGTATAGGATTATTCGTCACAGCCAAATTCGTTTGAATATACAACAATAATTGTTTATATTAGGTATATACTATAACGGCATGTGTGGTATATTATGGGTATTATACTGTGCGGGTCGTCGCGCAAATCTACTTTGTCAGGTCCACGGCGCTCAGCACCAGCTCCTGTCGGTGTTGATCGGTGCAGGAATCTCCGCCGGGCATGGAAGACGTGTTGTTCAGTTCCTCGAACGATTTGACCATCATTTTGGTGGCCACGTTTAACGAGTCCTCGAATGTCAACGTTGACTTGAGGCTGGAGAGATTTTTGTTCGAGCTCACCTCGTCTTTCGTGTACAGATGGTCGTCCTGTTCGATCAGGTGTTCCATGCTGCTGTCCAGACTGGCTTCTGGAGTGGCCTTAGGCATCCTTTTCGCCTAAAACAGTACAGTGTTATCAACTATTGTGTATTATGCAATGAGCTACAGAGATATATTGACGGTTGCCAACGATKGAATATTATTATAATTCATTGTACAGGCATATTTTAATAATTCATTTAATATTATAAAAATAACATGAGTAAATGGGCACCACTTATTTACTGTACAGTATTTGGCATTGAGTTAATCGCTTTTATGGATATGTTAAATTTGAATTCATTGCTAACTAAATTTATTATTTTATGATATTAGTTATTGTATTTTACTATTAGATATTAGTATCACAGTTGGTTGAATACATTTTTGTGAACAAATTGAATTTAAAAATGACTTGTATATATAATATTATACTTTTTCAGTGTCAAGTTTTAAGTACTAACCAATACGTATCACTTTGTATTTAATTTTATAACTATTTATTTGGTCCAACGAAAACATTTTAATCTACAATAATTAAACAAAAAAGTATTTTGAAAATTTTATGGTGTACCTATTAAATAAATTCAAATATAAACATTTGGTCAAAAATCATGTATTAATGGGTATCTTTTAGTAACACTAGAATTTTTTTATTAATTGCTTTAATGGCAATATCAAAAAAACTTATCATGAAAATACTTGATATAGCCATTAGCCACTAACGCTGCAGACTATACCTTTTCAGAATTTTTTTCGTATACGATGATAAATAATTGAATTAAAATTTAATACACTTATTACAGCGATACCCACTTGTCCACGTTTTTATATTTTGATTTGATCATTTAGTATTAATTAACTTATCTTTATTATAAATTTTCAAATATAATATTGATTCACATTTATTTCATAAAACGATGACCAGAATAACAATGTAGTTAGTGAACAATGGCCTACATAGCCACAAAGGTAACCTATATGAAAATAACAATAATAACATTGGTGTTGCTATTCGTAATTACTGTAGCTAGTGTTGAACGTTGTTGACAAGATACATTTTTAATAGGTATATAAATACCATATAACAGCGTTTCCCAACCTTTTTGCAATGGCGACCAATACATTTAATCTTTATTAGGCACGCGTCCCCCCCCCCTTAAAAAAGTATGCCTTAAATAAATAAGATTTTTACTATAATCCATTTTATCATTGAGTTTTTTTATAAAATACAATACGAATACAATATACTGAATAATAATAACTTAATTAATAAATAAATAAAATAAATWATAAAAAAATACAAAAAATTAGTATAATAGAAAATTTAGTGTGAATATCGACTAGTYACTAGTCATTAGCACATTTACCGATAAGATAAAAAAAATTCCATAATCATAAAAACTTTACGTCATTTATTCTACAATACTAGTTATTTATACTATTTATCAATTTACGACTAAAATAACTGTAATCGTAACCGCGAGTCCGCGACCCATCAAAAAAATTTCGCGACCCATGGTTTGGGAAACGCTGCTCTAGTATAAAGAAAAAATGTTAAATTAATGAATAGTATTCAAATACTGTGGGAATTTGTTTTTTTGCTGTCTATCAAATATAAAGTAATTTCTGATAATTATTTGTTATTACTATGTAAAGAAAATAGTAAATACATAAYATTTTACCTTGCTGTTTAGGTTTAAAATTACTTTTTTACAATATATGTTCTTAAGTTCTAAATTAAGGTATATTTGAATTATGTGAAAGGTCAATATTTATTTYATTTCTTAATTTTTAAGTTAAAACTTAATACCATCACAATCAAATTATAAAATATTTCTGTAATTTATTAGATTCAGAGCGGAGTAATGATACCTTCATGTTTCATGTTTAAGAGCAGAAAATTTACTTTATTAATGAATAGTTTCCAGTACTATACTTCCAATATTGTTCTTAAAAATAAGAATTAGAAGCAATTAAAAATACTTTTAATGATTTAATTTAAATATATTTTTGATATTTGGTGTTCATTAGGCACTAAGTGTTGCTATACTTCAAATTTTCAAGTGCTTCTTTTGAAATTTATAGGGCACAAGCCTAAAACTATTAATAACAATTTAGTTTTACCCAATGCATACTCATATTCAACATTTTTCTACATTGTAATCTTAATTRACAGCCAAAAATGTTGAATATAGCTACAATATTAAAACATTTTATATATAAAAAAAAAAAACTCTTTATGTATACAATATAATAAATTTCTAGAATGGCATAATCTCATTTTAATCATTAATTTATTTTTATTTTTTATTTCAGTTTGTTAAAAAATTAAAAACCTATCCTGATTCTGGACGGTCTTCAACTCATTTTGACTAATTTGTTACATCTGTGTGACAAAATTGAACCAGAGCTTGGCATATCTGAAATTGTGCAGTAAGATAAAAAATAACCCAGTAATGGGTCGCGATCCATGGTTTGGGAAACGCTGCAAAAACCAATTATTTCTATTAACRCAAAATAACGAAATGTAGAAAAATTTCGGTCTTTGTATAAGAAACCCAAACTGATCCCTCAACCCAGTACCCATATTATAGCGGAGACATTTTATAACATAATGACAAAATTAATTTCTTTAACTTTTAACGAACCGTTATCTTAGATTGAAAATATTGTTAACAGCCCCGTTTAAATGTTTATTCCACCGGCCGGACATTTTATGACCTGGGTATAACATTTATAAAATATTCTATGTACCTTTATATTATACCAAGTAATTACTTACCTTTAGTACACACTACACACCCAATAATCCTTTCCGCCACAAATTCGTTAGTTTATAAGACCATAGTTATAATAGGTTAAGGGTATGTACAAACAACGAATAAATATATTAATTCATTACGTGGCCGGTGTTTAAAATTAAAATTAATGTTGTATGAAATTATGATTTATTTTTATTTATAAAATATATTAGCTAATAGCGCGTCTAAATATTAAAAAACCACCGTTTTCTTCAGAACGATATATGACGATTAATTCCGGAACAAGGGAGGATCGGGGTACAAAAAAGTAAAAACCGCACCCTACAGCATTTATACACCAGATATATTTTCAAAATTAAAAATATTCTCGAGAATATCTATAAAATTTGTATTAGGAAGAATAACYCCAATACATGAAATTAAAATCAGTGTGGTTTGTGAAATTAATTTGACACGTGTTGATTTCGCATGAGTTGGTTCCACTGCCCGACCATCCACGTCATATACATACACATACTTTTACATTTTGAAAGTCATATTTCCCGGGAAAGGGAAGGGAGGTGTCCCGTCCTTAAGACTTGGTTAATTTCTTTTAATATGTGAACATTAAAAATAATAGTTCATGGTAATCATACATCATCAATAGTAATAAAAAATTATAAAAGTTTTAAAATATGATAAGCATATTATAACACAGTACGACAATCTATGGCAAGTGAATGAAAATAATTTTTTGCATATTTTTTGTGCCCAGTTACAAAAAATCATTGGTGTTTCGTAAAGACTGTTATTGAAGTGACGGCTTTTAATATTAATTTTTGAATTTTCTATTCAAGCATGTTAATAATTATAATACTACTATACTGGACAGTCTTGTAAAGTAGGTACTCGAATAAAATTATTTCAATAACAGTGTAAGAGTATTCAAAATACTTTTAAAAAKTACTTGAACAAAGTATTTTAAATACTTTCTCAAAGTAAATGTATCTAAAATGTAATCAAGATAAACATAATTTAATAGGTACACGCACATAGGTAAGGTATTATAAGATCTAAAGGTTGAAACTAACGAGATTATAGTCTTTTTGAKTTCATTCCAACCGGACATTTTTTTACTTTGTTTAGAGGATAATATTATTGCACTCAATAGTAGTGGCAGGTTTTATCACTCACCAAGGAGGGAGRRGAAGGCTATTGAGGCTCAACAATTTACGTAGTTGTATTTTAAATCTTTATAAAATTTTAATTAACATAATATGTTTTTACCGATATTCAAATCATTYTTTTTTTAAATGTATTTGTTTCACAATAATAACATATTTTAAATAGTTATATKGCTATAAATTTTCATCTGAGATYATTTATAAAAGAAATTATACTAAAGTAATAACAAGAATGAATGGTTTATTTAAAAAGATATTTATATTACATTATTAATATTCCAAGTTTCATTTTTAAACTTTTGACAATCGTTCAATACTATTATCTGTTGTCTGTTGAGACTATATTCTTCAATAAAGATGTTTTATCATAATTATTGAAAATTGTATCATAATACTTGTCTTAGAAAAATAAATTGCTTATTCCCAAGAGGGCTCCCTGCTCMCTGGCTGATGTCCCCATATGGCCATATACCCTCCCTTAAACCCGCCACTGTCCAATAGTGTATGTTTGTTATACATAAATATTTTCCTTTAAACATCTTCCAAGAACTTACCTATTATTATATTTTAATGTCAATGCAATATCAGTGGTTATTACCTATGGTTTCCGCTGAACGAACAATACGAATAATAATGACCGCTTCTTTTTGGTACATGTTTATCAATATAGAAGGATAAAAATACGTCAATACTTTTCATGTTTAATAAAAACTTCCGTGCTAAATAAATTTAATATTGATGTTTTAGATTTGATGAAAGTCTATMACGGACGTGGAGGTTTTAGTAAATTAGTTTTTATGTGCTTCCTTCATTCTTCAATAAAAGTATTGAAGTAAAAATAAATTCGAAAAGACACAATCAATACAGTATCCTTTGGTGAAGTGTTGTAGAGAAATTTTTCAATTATTATGGGGAGGATTTTTTAAATTTGTTCAGGTGTAGTATAGCTTATAGTATAATGATGCAGGACTGGAATTTTTCAATTTTATGTTTATTTAAATGCTCGTTTTATTATGAAAATCCGYTTCATGTATAGATATTATTGACTTGAATTTGAATTTGTTGACATTTCATAGGCTTTTTAAGAATTTAAAAACTTTACAATTATTTTTTTTTTATGAGGTTGTGTGGTTTAAATCAAAATAGGAAGTCTGAATCATTGACGTCTCCAGACTTCTAAATTGGCGCGTTACAGATAATGCTCTGAGAAAATTTTTAAAATTCTAGAGGGGGSAMAAGTGCCACCTCTTGCCACCACCCTGTGGACGCCAATAATTTGCATCAARCCCATAATGTATCCTCCTACGAGGTTGATCCTAGACGTTCAGTGTTTAATTCATCATATTTTATTCATATACCTATTATATGTACATATTCAGGTACCTAGTTTAACAATACGAAAATCGGGTGACTCACTTGTTGACAGACGATTTGCGGTTGCTGGTCGGCGGCCATGGACACGCGTTTTAGCGCYGGTTTTAAAACCGTCATCGGCACGGACTCGACGACGACTCCGGTGAGCGGTTCGGCAGCGGCCGCGTTGGCGGCAATCGGATGGTTCCGGAACGGCATGTACTTGTAGAACTCGGCCATTTTGTCGGAAGTACCGCCGCCCTTGTGCCGGCGACGCTTGAAGCAGAACGTCGGCGGACAGAAGCACAGCATAATGCGGACGGCGCAACAGCACACGCCGATGGCGATCATGCCGGGCCCGATGAACCGGAGCTGAACCGTCTTGAAGCCCTTCTCGCCGGTGCCCACGAACGCGATGATCAGACCAAGCGCCACGGAGCACAGACCCACGTACAGTAGCGTGTTGGCCGCCGCGCCCTGCTGCAGCTCGTATAGCCTCCGGTCGTCGCCATCGTCACCACCTCCGAACGACAGGGCGTCGTGGATCTGTTTGGAGTGGTGGTGGTGGTGGTGGTTTTGGGGGGGGGGATCCACAAAAAACACGGGTTACATCATTATTGTTTAAATATTTACTGGTATATTATATCAAGCCTAACTGGTCAAAGCGATTTCGATTTGATACATATTGGYGGTGAAACAACATATTAAACTATATTATATAACGACGAACCGCCGAAAACAACGACATAATGGTTAGTGGTTACGGACAAATGTTGCCAAATGCACTTGAGAATATACTAATAATCGTATACTTTGAAAATGTGGGAATTCTATTAAACGACAACTTAAAGTACTTTACAATTAATTTCAGTTAAATACATCAGTTATAGTAAATGCGTTAAGTTGTGATATAAGTAACTACTTAAATTAATATTTTTTAGTGTTTTTAAATTTCGGAAAATTAAATTCKAATAATAACACAACAAAAAGTCTGAAAGTGGGTCAACACAAATACTTATCGGTCTAGACAGCTGGAAAATACGTTAATAAATAAACACTGCTGCAGTGCTARTATTATTATAACGATATCTGAAAAAAAAAATCTGCCACGAATCTTTCTGGTGTGCATATCTGTGTAAATAATTCTGTACAATCCACGCAATTAAAATAAGGTTCTTAAAACTAAAAATAAAAATAAATATTAACCCTTAATTATTATCATTTTACCTATATACCTTTGAGTCGACTAAAAGTGTGAATGAGTTTAAAAAAAATATCAAACAAATTGCATTTAATGGTTTTTTGGTGTCGGATTTTTTTTTTCTTACTCATATATATGTTATAATAATTATCATTGGCACCTTTTTATGCCCAATAGGTACATCTTATAAATAAATTAAATTGTAAAAAATTCTATTTTAAATTTAAAACACGTCCGTTGACGATGATTATTATAAAGGAAATATAAGTAGTATTTTACATATCTGATTGGTACGATGTTACTTTAGGAGTAAGAGTATTTCTTTTAGTAGATAATAGAGTTATTTTAAGAGAACACTCGCTTTAATTATATGTGCACGATTAATAATATTTATACAATAATACGTATATTTTTCAAATAAGGAAACATGTTAGATATAAGCACATGTGGTTCTTTT